ATATATATATATATATATATATATATATATATATATATATATATATATATATATATATATATATATATGATAAAAGACAACCACTGAATTGAAGAACAGATGACTGGAAACGTATAAGACTAGCAACTATGATACCATGAACTTTTACAAACTTTTTGAAAATATTATTGCTTATGTGTGGATGGTGTGAGAATTCCATTTCAGTCACTTATTTTGGAATAAAATTCTTGAATTCATACCTTTTTAATTTGATTCCGAATATGAACAAGATATCACTGACTTCGTTATCGAATTCTGGTGTCAACAAGTAAATCACCGAGGATACTAATAAGAAGAAAGTATGGCATAAATATTAGAACCCTCTTGAAATAAGATTAAATCGCCTCTGTAGCTACGGTTATCTAGGTATTGAATCTGACAGCACCATAATCCGGCTGGAAATACCGAATACAAACTGCGTAATATGAAAACATTCATTTAGTTGAGTATCCAAAGTTTGTTCTCCTAAAGCGTTTATGAGTTTCAAATGGCTGTGACATGTTTGTCAGATTTTGCATCTTCGAAAAAGACTACACCTGTGCAGCAAAAGCTACAACCTTAAATGACAAATCCACGTCAGTGAAAGTGACTACTTTACCCAGAGCTCCAAGTAAGTGAAGCATGGTCAACTAACAAGCTGGAGCTTTTTCCGACTTTCATTATCTTGTGAATTTAGGGAAAAATCGCTAAAAAAAGCCATAGAATAGGAGAAAGTGAAGCAAACAGTGGAATGAAAAGTATCCACCAAAATAAGCACAAACCATGGGTGCAAATGAGCCACTAGGATTACCTCTGGACTACTCCAGTTTCAGTCTAGTCACTCTTAGAGTACTTTTGGTCTAATCCTACTTCACCTAGCATTGTTCAGGGAAGTAGGTGGCAGATCGGCTTGCGTAATACGTGTCAAAACACCTTTTTCGGTGGAGGTTAATCAACTCTTCAAGCAACTCGGCCGTCTTATTTAAGGATCTACAATTAGCCTCTATGCCACTTAACTTGGTGACTACAGTAACTTATAAGCAATGCTGCAAACTTATGAAAAGTTAAACGTCTAGAATCCTCCCATATATTTTAACTAAATTAGTTATGCTTTACAACTATATTTGAAAACGGCCAACTACTTCTCAGCTCCCTTAACCCTTCAGCAAAAAATATTTTGTTGATGATAACTTTCTATAGAGTAGATGAGTAATGTTCTTTGACGGATATAAACTAACATGGCTAACTAACCATCAACGTTGCTAGGAAAATTGTGCTTTAAGATAGCTCAAAAATGTGGTAGATTGCCTTAAATAGAATGAAATATATGGGTGTTGAGAAGTTCCATCAAAAGTTTACTTAACTTTTTCTTACATAGAAATAAGTTACACAACTTTACCATGCAGTAAATGGTATCATAGATAAACCTTTAAATTAAAATTACCTCAACAAGAATATATTTTCTAATTTGATGTTGAATTGGCTTCGTTAACCAACCAAATTATTTGATTGGTCGTGTCAGCCATAATGAATCTCTTTGCCCTTTATCGGTAGGCAAATAATGAAGTCACCCAGCATCAGTCGTTCTTCAACATCTTAGGTATTAGAAAAGCATCCAAGAATCAAAGAGTAAGTATGCTAGGGAACAACTCGTTGTATCCAATCTTATAGATTCGAGATAAACGTCGAAGTCAATGTGTAATGTCTACATACCGTTGTTTTCAGAGTGAGATCATCAAATGAGCTATTTCAAAATCAAGTAAGCAGTTTTTGCTGTGTGTGTTAATTTAGGTGACATGGCTTCTTAACAACTACGTTGCTAATGTGTCACAAACACTTAGTAACCACATACCAAGAGTTGATATACCGTTTAAAGTAAGATTAAGATAAAGCAAGGCTTCTAATGATCATACCAGGAAACAATACGAATCTGTTACAACGCTGTTGTCAAGAAATTGTGAGCATCCTGGAAGGACAACTAGTTTTATCTGTAACGAGCCGATATCCTTAGCCAGTAGGCTCAACCATGTTCATATAGATCATTTAGTACAAATTCGCTCTGCAAACAAATCAGTCAGATTAATTCACATCCTAAATAAAGATCAGTCCTAGTATTTGTATGCGTAAGGAATACAAATACATCATGACAATGTTAATTAACATTACACTTTTGTGTATAAAAGCATTATTGTAGTTGTCAGTTAACTGTTTAGATTTCCTGAGCTTTTTAAGTTACGTAATTAATTGCTTTTTAAGCCCTGAATGTTTTGAGGACATAAATACAACAACTTAATAAGTCGTTGTTTCTACTTAAAGCTGAGTGATGGAGTCATAGTTGGCAAGGGATGCGAATTATTACTACATTCCACAGTTCGATGTTATGAAAACATCAGATAAAACCCTAATAATATCGCCTACAGTGAGTGGAGATAGAATAAGTGTACTCACTTTTTGTCGAAAACTCGATTACTGTTTGTTTATCCAGCTTTTGCCAGTACAAATCTCTTCCTATTCTTGCTTACGTCTTTCTTTTACTGAACTTTGTAGAGTGCGTCAACCATGGCCATAGCAATTATTTACTGGCTGATGGCTCGCAAGCTTTTGAAAAACATTCATCATGTACCTTTAGCTTAGGGTGACCCATAAGTATTTTGATATCGTTCGGTAACAGCTTAATTCTGACGCATCCGTTTCTATTCATCGCAAATGTTCTCAGATCTACTCCATGACAAAACTATGGAAGCTTTACAAAATATACCAGCAGTCTCAAAGTGCCCGCTTGCATAAATGAGATTTTCAAAGCATACAGAACAATTTTCTACCAGTTAACTCAGTAAATTTTAAATCACTACTATAGTGGTCGAACCTAACTAATGGCAAGTTTCTAGAGAATAAGTTCCCGGCTCAAGGTTCTTTTGCTGTTGGATGGCAACGTTTTATTACCTCCAACAGGCTTTTATCTCCCTAGGGACTGGATGGGTGCTGTGACAAATCGTCTTTTTACTGGAGATAGTAGTCAGTCAGTAATGCATAACTGGCCTCTTAGTCTCACCATAATTATGGTTCAGATAGTGAAGACAGTAGGTGATGAGATACTGAAACATTCAGAATCAAGTAACTTATTGATACGGCACCGTCATGGCCACCAGGCTAGACGTTCTCTTTTGAAGACCCCATTCCTGGCGAGAAAGCACTGAGCTAAGGCTACGGAAATAAATTCCTTGTGAACGTAGTGTTTATTGAATTCAATGTTTTTGACGTCACATAGGGTTGGCGAAGAAACTTCGTGAATTCCGTTTTGAAAACTGTTTCAATCCTGGATTAGAGAATAATAAACTGAGTAAGAATGAGAAGAACACCAAGTAGTAACCTGCTAACAAAGTTGTTTTTCAAGGCAGTAACCTTAGACCACTACGCTTCCTCCTTAAAAATAATGGAAAGTCAGATATACTACAGCAGTTGTTATTATTATCTGTTAGTGGCAACAAGATATGGGGGGGCATTACTAATGATGATGGTGACAGGTCGGCACCCCAAGCTGACACTGATAAAGCTTGGAAGTTAATTCAAAGGAAAATGCAATAATGCGTATTGTGAATGAAAATTCTGGCGACTACTCCACAAATGGTCAGCTAACAACTTGAGTTTTTAAGAAAGGCTTCAGAGTTGTTGTAAGCCAGGACTCATAGTCGATTTGAAATTGCACCGCTCCTGCTACTAAGGTGTTCCATATGCCTTGTTTTTCATTTACAGTATTCGAATGCTTTGACGGAGAGGTGTTTAGGATCCTATGTCCCAAAGCCTCGCTTACGTTATTGCCGTCAAATGACTAGTCCATGTTTAAAAACTAAGCTGATCCATTAGAATAGGTCCAAAGGGTTGCCAATGAGCTGATGACAGGCCTTTTTTCACCTTTCTTATCTGTAATGACTAAGAAGCCTGGACCTTTTAGCTTTATATTATTGTAGGAAAAAACATGGACTAATTTTGGCCTTTCACATTTTGAATAGGGACTTCGGTGCTGATTTATCTATATTTTACCCCATCTACGACTAAATAACCACAGATACCATCGAGATGGATCCATATGCCACAGTTAGATCATACTCGATTGGAGTACGGGTTCTGCTATCGAGTGATCGATGAGTGGGACTCGTTACCAGGACAATTAACAGCTCCTTCAGTCACGATTTAATCACAGCAAATATTGGCACAGGCCTTTTCAGTGAAGATTAAAGAAAAATTGGTTCGACTATGTTTTTTTATACTTCGGTTAATTCTCAGAAAAATGAAAACCGTAGGAAGTTGAATTAACCGTAAACTACACAAAAGGCATTATAATGTACGCTGCTATTCTACACAAGGCATGATATCTACCAAAACTTCAATTTCACTCGTTAAAGAATGTCTTTTGATATTCATTCTTATTCACTTTCCCTTAGCTGAAGCTCACCACACTAATCAAACTAGATACATCAAAAGCTTTTCGAAATGGCAGAGAAAGGAGACAAAACATTCACAAATAGTATTTTACCTTGAGCTTTATTCACAAATAATGATTTTGTTTTCTAAATTGTTTTTGCTTGCCTTTTGATGCACTCTGATCTTGAATCAATTTATCATACACCATGTATGATGGCATGAGCAATGATTAAAAATAGCAAAACTATTTATCTGATTATATTCCACTCTTTGCTCGAAGGAAACACGAATTATGTAACACACTGAATTCTGATACATAAGTAGTTGACTTGGATGTTATATGAACATAGAATTCAGGGAGAGAATGAAGCGGATACATAAAGAGACAAAATTAAAATTACCAGTTCTCCCCGGATTGAAAAAACACAATGTTTGCAAAACTGTGGCGAAAACCATGCGTTTAAAAAGGTACGGTAAGAATTTCCTCGAAATCAGCATATTTCAGTGCATCAATTAGAAAAATATTCACTTTTACATCAGAAAAATTCAAAAGAACTCACCAAAAGATGGAAACACCTCGTTGTTGAATCCAACATGATAACATCAATATCAATACATTTGCTGCTCATCATAAAAGTCGCTTATCAACAAGTATTTGGACGGCTGTTTCTACTTCCTCTGACAGTAAATGAACTACCTAATATAAGATCTCCAAGTTTGCTACTGGTAAATATCTGAAACCAGTGAGGCGTAGTGTAAGAAACGCAAAACCATCATCTGAAACATTTATTGATGCACCATATGTCAATAAGTTTTTCTGAAGTGCTAACAGAATGTTAATAGTTACATAAATCCACAGGAAATAACATTATTTGGAATAGGCTCGTAAGTAGTAAGCCCGCGTGTATGCACAATTTGATATAGTAGAACACTCAATATTTCGGAAGTCTTTGTAAACCGGAGAAAAATGGCACTTCATTCTGTAAGCAGCTTGGTAATAAACAAAATTGAGTTCCAAAACTGTTTGTTAACGTTAATACTCACACAACTAGTAGCTGGTGCTGAGTTGCAACGTATGAAACATAAAACCTAAAAGCGTGAAATCGAGAGACAAAACACAACATACTACAGCGTCACACACTTCCCCAACATCAATAGCCTAGGGTTTGACGACTTTCGACATTGATGCTGACCTTGATAGTTTAACTGGACTCGCTAAGCTGAAGGCACCCGGTCAAGCATCCTCGCCATTTGGCACGCTGTCGTGTTACGTTGCATTGCTCGTATTCGACTCTCTAGCCAGTTAGTTGGAACGCATCGGTATTTTGGCATAACCATCCAAATATACTATTCCATCCGACTACGCTATCGTGTTCTTCCTTGGTCTCGTATTCGTGGGTATATAACAAGTTCGAATAATTAGTGATTGGTCTTTGCGTCTGTCAAGTTCGCACCAGGACAAATCCTAAATTGGTGAGCCCGACGTGATCACATATCCCGACCAATAACAAGTATTGAATTGGTGAGCCTGTTCCATTTTATATTTGTTTATTGTTTTCATTTCGATAACATTTATATATCCATTTACTACACTTTCTCATGTCCGACCACACTCCCAAGCTTATTCGTATTAAGCCGACTCGAACACGATCCAACTCGTGCCATATTGGCCAGACAATGCAGAAACATGGTTTCTGTATGCCGAGGCCGATTTTCGAGAACAGGGTGTCTCAGATCCTCATTCTCGATTTCTTGCTGTCATACGTCACTACCGCGAGAATTAAACAGGTATGTTACAGCAAACATGTTTAATCCTGAAGTAAGTGACCCTTATGCACTTCTAAAGGCCGCACTCTTGAAGAAAAGCGATCTCACAGATCGCCAACGTCTAGACGAATTGCTTCGTAACATCGAGCTAGGCAGCCACTCAGCTACTGAAGTCCTCGCACGCATGCGAGAAGTAATCGGTGCACGAACATTTGACGATGGTTTTTTCCGAGAACTATTTCTCTCGAAACTACCACAACCGGTGCAAACCGTGTTGGTGACACTGCAGTCAGTCCCACTCGACGACCTGGCAGCCTCAGCAGATAAAATACTGGAGATATCCAGCAGACCCGTCTCCAACGTATATTCTATCTGCGACAAACCAGAGCGCCAGGATTCAGAGGTGACCAAGTTGTGCAACTCTGTGAAACGGTTGCTACGATCTCGAAGTCCTAGATCACGTAGCACTTCACAGAAACGCACCTTGGCGCATCGCAGCAAGTCGCGTGGTAGCCCTAAAACGAAACCCAACAGGGTGGAAAACCCTGAATGGTGCTGGTTTCATAACACTTACGGGGATGAAGCCAGAAAATGTCGTAAACCATGCCGTTTTAAGAAGGACACAAACTCGGGAAACGGTCACGCCGGCACGTGCTCACGGCAACCGTAGCCGGCGGAAAAAGCCGTTTGCTCTACGTCACCGACATTAAAACGAAAGTCCGCTACCTCGTCGACACCGGCGCAGAAGTTAGCGTTCTTCCAGCAACGACAAAGGAGCGTCATCTTGACCCATCCTTCAATCTTCAAGCAGCCAACGGCAAGGCAATCGCGACATTCGGGAGACGGTATGCCTACCTCAACTTAGGTTTACGCAAACCTATTCACTGGATTTCCTCCTGGCTGACGTCTCTATGCCCATCATTGGCATAGATTTGCTAAACCATTACGATCTACTCGTAGATGCTCGCCGTCGACGACTGATAGATAACAACACAAAGTTATCTATTGGCGGCACCACCTATGTAGGTCCGAGTTTAGCCATCGTTAGGACTAAACAATCAGGCGACGCGTCCTACCAGGCAGTTCTGGAGAAATATCCAGAGTTACAACAACCGAAACACACTCTTCCGTGCATAACCAGCAATGTTATGCATCACGTCACAACCACAGGTCCACCTGTGGCATCCAAAGCTCGCCGTTTAGCCCCCGATAAGCTGCAAACGGCGAAAAATGAATTCGACCACATGCTCGAACTGGGCATTATCAGACCGTCGAACAGTCCTTGGGCATCGCCATTGCACATGGTGCCCAAAAAGGATAGCAACGACTGGCGTCCGACCGGTGATTACCGAAGGCTTAACGCCAAAACAACTCCGGACTGCTACCCTATACCCACGTTTACGACTTGACCGCAACCTTATGCGGCATGAACATTTTCTCCAAAATCGACTTGGTCAAAGCGTACAACCAGATACCTATGGCAGCAGAAGATATCGCGAAAACAGCCATTATTACTCCTTTTGGCCTGTTTGAATTCCTGCGCATGCCTTTTGGTCTTCGGAATGCAGCACAAACATTCCAACGCTTTATGGACGACGTCTTCCGTGGTCTGAATTTTGTTCATGTCTACATCGATGACTGTCTAATTGCGAGTCCAGATAAGGAAACACACCTTAAACATTTGGACCTCGCATTCGAAAGACTTAAAAAACATGGCATCACAGTTAACTTACAGAAGTGTGAAATAGGAGTTGAATCACTCAGCTTCCTTGGGCATACCATTGACAACAAAGGTATACGCCCATTGAGAGATAAAGTGGCGGCTATCACAAACTATCCAGAGCCGACCACTGTGAAACATCTCCGCACTTTCAATGGCCTGGTAAGTTATTACCGAAGGTTTATCCCTAACTGTGCCTCTGTCATGAGACCACTCACAGATCTACTTCGAGGAACTGCGAAGTTCGTGTCTCTGGACAACGCGGCTAGACTTGCTTTCTCTAAAGTCAAGGAAGCCATTTCGAACGCAACCATGCTTATGCATCATGACCCCAATGCTCCTCTGAGTATTGCTGTTGATGCATCTGATTCAGCAATTGGAGCAGTTTTGCAACAGTTGACTGACAACCAGTGGCAACCGTTAGCCTTTTTCTCGAGGCGGCTGCAAGACGCGGAAACAAGATACAGTACATTTGGTAGGGAACTCCTAGCCATGTACTGTTCTGTACGCCATTTTCGACATTCTGTGGAAGGTCGTGATTTCATTATTTTCACAGACCACAAACCGTTAACGTTTTCCCTCAGCTCGGCGTCTGACAAATACTCCCCTCGTGAGTCGCGACAGCTGGATTACATTTCCCAGTTCACGTCAGACATCCGCCACATTTCTGGAGCAAACAACTCCGCAGCCGACGCACTATCTCGAATAGCTTCGATAAACTATATCGAGGGTATTGATCTCGTTGAACTAGCTCGGCGTCAAAAGGAAGACCTTGAGCTGCATCATGAGTTGTCGTCCACAACTCTCAAACTGCGACTTTGTCCTGTTGGATCAGACAAGGATACAATTTTGTGCGATGTCTCTGCTAGTCAACCACGCCCAATAGTTCCGAAGAGTTGTCGACGCAACGTCTTCAATACGTTGCACAAACTCTCTCATCCAGGTGTACGAGCCACCATTAGGCTTATCGCACAACGTTTCTGCTGGCCTGGGATGAACAAAGACGTTAAGGAGTGGGCCCAGTCGTGCTTAGCTTGTCAAAAGTGTAAAGTCACGCGACACACGAAAAGCCCTTTAGGCTCATTTCTAGCCCCAGACATGCGTTTCGACCACGTCCATATAGATATTGTAGGACCCCTACCAGAATCTAATGGATGTACCTACCTTTTCACTGTGTTGATCGTTTCACACGATGGCCGGAAGCAGTACCCATTAAAGATATTACTGCCGAAACAGTTGCTCGTGTTTTCGTCGAAAGATGGATCGCGAACTTCGGATGTCCATCTTACGTCACAACCGACCGTGGGCGCCAATTTGAGTGTGGATTATTTCACGCTCTAACGGCACTTTTAGGTTGCACTCGGTTCCGAACGACAGCCTACCATCCACAAGCAAATGGCATGGTAGAGCGTTTCCATCGACAGCTGAAAGCTTCCCTTTCAGCTACAAACATACCTCAGTGGACCGAGGCTCTGCCTCTAGTCCTACTAGGTATTCGTAACGCGTTGAAAGTTGATGCTGGATGCACTCCTGCAGAACTCGTCTATGGGACCACTCTTCGCCTACCAGGTGAGTTTGTTTCCCCTTCAACTTTCAAACATGTTTCCGACAGGGCATCTTATGTGACTAGGCTTACAAACGCAATGCGTTCAGTTAGGCCTTCTCCGATTAGACCGCAAACGACTGATGTTTTCGTCCACCCCAGTTTACAGAAGACATCACACGTGTTTGTTCGCCACGACGCTGTTCGTCGACCACTTGAACCACCCTACGACGGGCCGTTCAAAGTGATTAAGCGACATGAGAAATTCTATATAATTGAGCGAGACGGACGTGAAGATACTGTCAGTATCGACCGTTTGAAACCAGCTTATTTCGAAGGCAACCCCATTGTAAGTGACGTTTCAGCTCACCGACCGACGGATGACTCAATTATCGAAATTCTCGACGATGTGCCTGGTAATGCACAGCTGCAACAACCATCGGCGCAACAAAAAACACGATCAGGTCGAACCGTCAGGTTCCCAGAGTACCTGAAGTCATATTCAACTTAGCTGTGTGTGTGCCAACCACATTTTTTTCTTTTTTTCGAGGCACTATTTTTCTTATTTACCGGCATGCACAAACCCTCGTACACTTTGCCTTTTTATATCAATTTTTATTACCATGTAATAAAAACTAAAAAAACCGGCGAAGATAAGCGTAAATTTTTATTTTTCGATATGTTTATATATAAATAATTCCCATTTTTACGCAACGTTTTCGTGGTATTAAAGACTTTTATTTATATTCCAGGTGCAACGAGCACTGGACGGAACGTCGAAAGGAACAGATGACCGCGACCGACGTACAATTTCATTTATTGTATTTTATTTATTTAATCGCCACGACACCCTAGAATAAGGTT